TATCATCTCATTATTGTAAATTTCTAAATATTTCTTCGTAAATGTTTGTTCAATTTGTATGTTCTTCAAATTTTGCTAATTTCTTTTTAAAGTTCAACAATCTGAATAAAAAATTCATTTTCTTCATCACGGCTAAATCTTTTTCACTCCACAGTTGATTTTATACAAATTTTAAGAATCCATCTTTCTGCAAAAGATGGAGAAAAAGATTAAATCTGAAGAGTTCTCATCTCTCTCTCTCATGATTCGTGTCGTCCGCCTTCTTTTTCAATTGTGGAACTGGTTTTGTGAGATGTGTTTTGTTGGGTGTTTTCACTTATTGTTAGTGTAATATGGGTCGTTTAGTGCTGGTTGAGCGAGATCAGATAAAATAATGATCAGGCGAGCGCCCCTGAATTTGTCACACACAAGCCCGTAAAATATGAATGTGTTGAGTCAGGTCTGATACCTGAGAGTGCTTCAGGTAGAGCGAGGGAAAAGGAAGGTGACCTGATCATGATGCTGCGCGGCGGCCCATTTGTCACCTCTATCGCGACATTTATTTCGTTTATTTATGTTCGCCTCCGCTCTTTACGAGCACACACAAGCAGGATGCACCCAAAACTATTAACTAATGGACAAGCGCGACTCACACCACAGACGCGCGTATTCCGCGTGTGTGAAAAGATTTTATGCTTAAATTCCTCAAGAACAATCAGTAAATTAAAATATATAAACCATATGTCACTATAAAACCAGGATTTTCCGCCCTAAAGAAAGATAAAAAAGGGATTAAATACAAAGTTTCATTGCATGGTTTATTTATTGTAAAATATTAAATTTTAATTTGCAATTTAGACCTCTCTATAGTTTTTTTGGATGTTATGTCAAGCAATAAACAATATAATTACATTAATTTTATATAATCATTAAAAAATTAACAAAGTTATAGTTGCTGGTTATTGGGTTTTTAGTTAAGAAACCAAAATATTTTTAATCTAACGTACCCAATTTATTAAATCATAACAAATTTATTAACTATTTAAATATGAAAATTTTTATTAAATACAATTATTTATTATATTTATTTTGTTGTATTAAATTTATTTTATAACAATAAGGTTTAAATATTTAAATATGTTTTTTTTTATTGCCTTTGATCAGGTTAAAAGATATTGAATAAAAAAAATATTTTTTAAATACTGATTGCTACTACAGAGAAGCGTGATTAAAAAATTAAAAAATTAATTATTGTTTATGTACTTTTTGACAATTCATGAAACTTTAGAGATATTTAACTATCAAACATTTTGCATGTTTCCAAAACGTAAAACACTTAATTTTTTTTTTAGATTTGTAGATTTCTTGCAAAATCAATCAAAAACTTAGCTCCTGTTTCTATACACTAATTTTTACACGAATATTTTTAATATTTACACCAAACTGGATTTCTTTTTTGACATCCCACGTGCTTTCATCTGATTTATTGGGGAACGGTAAACCTTTGGAGAGCGCGGCGGAAGGTGTTCGCAAAGAAAGGAAACTCATGTTTTACACCAAGGAGCGGACAAAGGCGGAATTTCCCGCCGCATCTGCTGGTTGGCAGTCAGTAAATAAATTATTTTTTGTGTGCGTCACCTACCTTTCGGTGTCATAAAAGCGGCCGATGTGCTTTACTTTTTGAGGTGAAAATCCATTGAGGTGATTTCCTGTGTGCTGATTTGTTTTCCTTGTTCGGCGCGGTTCGCCTTTTCCAAAAGCGAGCGCAGGGATAACAGCATTGTTGCGGGAGATGGGAATAAAATGAATAGAGAGGCGCCGCTAAAAGCTTTTAACAATGCCATAAAACCATAAATATTTGGTGCCGCGCGGCGGCGGCCGAGTCAAAAATCACACACAATCGCCCTGCGCCGCTAAATAGATCACTTTTTATAGTCTTTTAACGAGGCTCATATTTTAATGGACCATCAAAACACCGCTGCTTTTCCCCTAAACGATGTATGGCGATTTTATATTTCTCATTACGCACTACTTTTCTTGTTTGCTTTATAAGAGGAGAAAAGCGGCTGTCAAACGATTGCCGCCGTTTTGAGGTTCGAAATGTGGTCGGGACACTTTGCGGTTGAAAAGCTGTCAAATTCGTCCATATTTTTATTTAAGTCAAAGGAAATTCAATATTGAAAAGTTATTTTGAATGACGAATGTCTATAATTATTTTTAATATTGTTTTATTGAAATGCTTCGCCCAAAGATTTATATTAAATCAGCAGTTATTAAATTAAAGTTAATTATCCTTTTTAATGATTTTATAACTATATGCATCAAATTTTGCTAAAAATATTAACAGAGGATAATCAATTTCAAAAACCAAAAACGTTTGATGAAAAAAAAAAAATATTGGACATTTAACATTTTATTTCTCTAAAAGTTACATCAGTTTAAATATTTGCAATTGAAAATTAATTTGGAGAATTATATTTTTACATGTCTGGTTGCTTAGAAAGAGATTTCGGAATATTAAATTTATGTACCATAAAAAGCTCTTTTAATTTTTAAACTTTCTGCTGACACGCTTTATTTAAATAAAAAGGGAATCTTAAATTAAAATGTCACGCAGGTTGCCTAACTCTGCTTTGAACTGCAAATTTATGCTGCATTATGCATTATTTTATTATATAATTTATTGGATTCAATCTTAAAACTGCATTTTTATTATATTAAAACGCTAAAAGTTGTCTCATCTCGTATCAGAAATTATAAAAAAAAAAAAAAATTAAAAGTGTTGTTATGTGCTGCAAAGTGGAAAAATTCAATTTAAATTACAGGTACCTTGACGTTTTTATTCAACAAAAAACATAAAAATTAAAACAGCCTGTCTTTTTAATGAAGTTGGAATTTTCTCTCTCTGCGAATGCACACTCCGTACAAGGAGAGAGCGTTAAGGTTAGTTAGTTTTCGCAAATTAAAATTTTGATCAGAGTTTCCTTGTAGTAACAAGGAGATAAAAGTTGACGAGAGCAGCATGTTTAAAAGGTGCAATTGAAGCTCTCAAATTAACGAAGGCGGCCTTCTGCAGAAGAAAAGAAAAGCATTTTGTGTGTGTGCAAGCCTGCGCGCGATCTGTGTGCGATTGCTGCAGCATGAAAAAAGGATAATGAAAAGGAGTCTGAATGGCGGTTACAGAAAAAGTGGAAATAAATCACGGCCAGCAGCAGCACAGCAGAGAGCGCGCGGCGGCTCGGTCTCTCTGTGAATAATAAAAATGCGAGTGAAAAATGCCGTTTGGCAAATGCCGAGTCTGATTTAATTAGGTGAGATAAGGCCCGAGTGCCTACCTGCCCTTTCTCAGGGCCTTGGTCGGTCGTGTTTACCTGATCAGATACCTGAGAGGCAGCCGAGTGGCAGGCAGGCAGCTAGCCAGGTCTCTCTCTCTCTCTCTCTCTCTCTCTCTCTCTCTCTCTCTCTCTCTCTCACGCGCCGGCCCGGCATATTAGCTCCAATTTATAAATGCCCTGGCCAGGATTATCAACAGGTGTGATGATTTCGTGATTTGACGCGCACTCAAACACTCAAAATTAATCCCCGGCCTCGTTATCATTCCGGCCGAGCCCTTTTTTCACTTGAACGCCAGCACACATCATATATGAGATGGGATATGCCCCTTCTTTTATATATATTCAGGATGCTTTTAATATATTTTACATGATCAACTTAATGTCACTTAGCGGCTGCATGCACAAACACCTATTATCCCGCCCGCCGCGACTAATTCCCTCACTTGGAAAAAAAAATGCAGAAGGTGAACAAAATGCTTAAAGGCTTTACGCATAAAAAGCTAAATACTAATATTTTTTTTAATATAAAGTAAATGTGATATAAACTAATTGAAAATTTAAAAGGAAATGAGAATTTAAAATAAATTTGGCAATTTGATTATTTTTTATTTCATTGAAATGGAAGGAACTTTTATTTTTTATAATTATAATTATTCGGCGCTCTTGACTTAGTTCTCCCGGTCGAAAAGTTATACGGCTGGGATGAAAACAAAGGGATAAAGTTAATCCCAATTCTCGGAATACATAACTTTTACCCCTCCCTCCGCCGATTTTCTTTTTAGTCGCCAAATCATATATAAGATAACTTTTTCTTAACCCGCGTCAACGGGATAAACATTTAACCAACGCTGTAATAATCATAGCAGCTGAAAAGATCGCCAACATTCTCGCGAACGTTTTAAATTTTGGCCAATTGCAACAACAAAATTTGCTCAGCAGATCAGAATTTTTCGAGGAACATGAAAAAGAGAGACAATTGAATTCGAACACAAGAATCTGTGTTCAATTGGATTAGAAATTGTTTTAATTTTACTAAAAAACATTTTAAAACCTTTTCATCAAAGCGAAATAATAAGGCTAGTACTTTTTTCTTCTTTAGAATATTATGTGTAAAATTTTCCAACTCGAATATAGATTGGATTTAATTTATTTTTATTTCAATACAATTTGTATAATTTAAAATTATAGTTAGAAATTGGGTAATGGAGTCAAGCGGCTTAATTAAAATTTTCATTTTTTTAGCGTTACAAATTATTAACAAAATTATCATTTAAAATTTTGTAATAATTTATAATTTTTGTTTTGTTTGGGAATTTAAAAATATTGTTCTCTCTATCTTATTTAAATTTTCCCATGGACTGTTGAAAGAGCTTTTGAAAGGAGAAATTTAATCTTAACGACGTCGGGGCACCCATTCACGTATTTTAATAGACTGGATTTTCAACAAAGCAAATAGTTTCGTGCTGCTGGGTTAAGTTTATTTAGTGAGAGTCACTGCTCACTGCTCACAACAAAAACATGCACGACAACCTTGATGCTCTTCAATATATATAAACGGGGGATAAAAAATAGCTGATGATATTGAATTTATCGCTGCTGCCTTGAGTCCGAGCAGCAGATTCGGATCTCTCACAGCCTCTTTTTAATCCGTAAATTTAATTGGAAAAAATTTGATTTTGTTCGCAGCGCCTGAAGGAGAAGGTGAACACGCTGGCGATTTCGGTTATGAACCAGTGGCCTGGCGTCAAGCTGAGGGTGACCGAGGGCTGGCAGGAGGAGGGGATTCTCCACACCCAGAGGGAAATTTTGCACTACGAGGGTCGCGCCGTCGACATCACGACGTCCGACCGGGACCGCTCCAAACTCGGCATGCTCGCCAGGCTGGCAGTCGAGGCAGGGTTCGACTGGGTACACTACGAGAGCAAGTCACATATCCACTGCTCGGTCAAGTCAGGTAAGAATTCAAAAATTTCCCATAAAAAAATTAACTGTTTGAAAAATATAATAACAGCAAATATTATTAAATTTTTTCATTCCTGTCAACTATTTATTTAGATTATTAGATCAGTTCAGTATTCCTTTCAAAGGCTTTAATAGATAAGTTAATTTAAAAATTAAGCTATGCAACCTTCAAGAAATAATTTTAAGATCATGATTTAATTGATTTCTAATTCTTTAAAATATTTTTGGTTCGAAAAAATAAATTTACTATGAGAACATAAACGGTGTATGAAGAAAAGGAAAATTAATGAACTTGAACAATCAATGAATTATGAATTTAAACGCTTGATGTAGTGTAGGTTGCCTACTTCAAACTCCAAACATTTCATTTTATTTATTGTATTATTATTTGAATTAACGAATTCTGAAACGAATATTTAAATTCATTTTTAAATTTTTCCACCTTCATTTAAATAACAAAATTAATTTAATTGGAAAAATTTACTAATTTATAACAATTTTGCAGAGTCTTCGCATTCAGCCAAGAGCGGCGGCTGCTTCACTGCCGACACCACGGTGGTGACCTCTGACGGGCACCGATTGCCGCTGGCCGAGCTGCAGGTGGGACAGCAGGTGCTGACCTTTGACCCGCAGACGGGACGCACCCAGTACTCGGAGGTGCTGCTGTGGCTGGACAGGGACCCTGACGAGGACAGGCTCTTTGTTGAGATCAGCACTGAGGGGGGCAGGCGGCTGGCCGTCACCCCCAACCACCTCCTCCTCGTCCGCCGCCCCCACGGCCCTCAGGCTGTCTACGCTGGTGAGTTTTGCATTAATAAAAGCCCCATAAAAATTAATTCACATCAAACATAAAACTAATTTATAATTAAACTTTTTTTTATTTTTGGTAAAAGTATTTTTTAAAGTGTTATTTAAAACGTAATTGATTTATTTATTTATTGGCTTAACTTAATTAATTTATTTATACATCTTGACATTTAAATTAAATTTTATTTGTATTTGCAACAAAAGTTAATTTGATAAATTAAATTTTATTCCAACAATTGTTATTAAATAAGGTTGTCTGTTATAACTCAAAACAATTAAAGTAAAGTAATTTCAAAAAGTAATTTTCAAAAAGCATATATATATTATAAGATTTTATTTTTTCTCGAAAATTAAATCCTTATGTGTGAGAAAAAATTATTAACTTATAAAAAAACATAGAAATTAGTCAATAGAAATTAATCCATTATCTTAAATTTATTTTTCATTCTAAAATTAACTTTTCCACCCTTGTAACCACTTTTTTTTAATTTTACCAAAAATAGTCATTATCGTTATCTGAAGGAAATGAAATTAATGAATCGCCTCCTTTTGTGTGTTCTCAGGAAACGTTGAAAAGGGCGACGAGTTGCTGGGGCTGGACTCCAGCAGCATGACGTCCGACGCGGTGGTGTCTGTGCGGGCGGTGCGGCGACGGGGGGTGTTCGCGCCGCTCACCACGGCCGGCACCCTCGTCGTGGACGGGGTGGGCGCATCTTGCTACGCCGTCGTCGCCAGCCACCCCCTCGCGCACGCCGTCTTCGCGCCCTTCCGCCTCCTCAGCAACGCGCAGCACGCGGCGCGCGCCCTTTGGTCGAGCGCGTTCGGCGGCGCCGCCGTCGACGCCAGGTCGACGCCCCCGCAGCCCGTCGGCGTCCACTGGTACGCGCAAGGCCTCTACTGGGTGGCGCAAAGGGTGCTGCCCCAGGGCATGCTCTCCTGAAAATCGAGACTGCTAGTCAGCGGCGGCGCCGCCTCCGACTGTCCCCAGCGGCGCCAACGCACCTCCTCCTCCTCGTCTCTGTACATACGCCTGCCTAACTTATGCCTCCTGTACATACGCCTTAATTTATCAATAAAAAATGACAATTTAGAAAAAATTATATTTTTTTGTGTTATTTTATTAAAAATCTTCTGGCAAATGAAAAAAATTTTAACAAGAAAAATACTCGCTCTGATAAAAAAAAAAATGACAGAATTAATTTTTATAATGATTTTATTCTAAAAATGAATTAGCAATAGTTTGTCATTTTCATAAAATGAGACATGAAAATTTTAACAATGAAATTAATCCTTAATCTTTTAACATTCACGCTACTCCTTAGGAGAATTTCCTAAAATATTTTCCTCCTTGAAAATTTTTGTGTTTAAAATAATGAAAATCTCACAAATCAGCACAGTATTAGGTTTTAATAAAATCAAAGAATCATAAATTATTTATTATTTTACAATAATTAAAAAATTCAATTTATAAGATAATACCACACGCTCTTTTTTAACATTGTATGATTATAATATTGAAGAAAATTTTATTCATATTTTCTGTTTTTTTCAATTACTGATGAAAAACGTATAATAATTGACCGTAATAAACGGTAATAAAACGAAAGCAGTGTGATTATCCCACGCGGAATCAAATTTTTACCTCCCAAAAGTTACATACGTGCACGCAAGAGGGCAGATTTGCATTGGCTTAGCTGAAAAGGATAGTAATGAAAGGAGCATTTTATGTTTGGAGTACTTTATTCCTTTAATTTTTATTGTTCCCTTGAAACGACAAATTAGCTTCAAATATAAAACTTAAATACATAAATTCATATATAATTGTTTTATTGTACAATTATTAATATTTTTAATGTTTTCTTCCTTACATTTTTGATCTCCTTACTGAACAATCATTGTCACAGCTGTATTTAAGCTTGTTGTATTAAGCGGCAAAGGCAAAGCAAAACACCACAACAACAAACTGCGAAACCCGATTTTAGAAAATTTAAAGTTTTTCATACACGATTTAGATTCTTAAATGCCAAAAAGAGCGAGATCACCTTTTGTAAAATGGATGGAACCGACGAGAATGATTTGAAGCATCCGAAATCTCAGGAGAATGAGCCTTTTAAGAGACCTTTGACTGGAGGATCGTTATTGGTAAGTTTTACATTTTGATGTAGTTTTTGTAAAATGTAGTTTATTCATATACTTTCCATCCAGCAAATCGTCAAGCGCGTGAATCGACCATTTCCAATTTATCTTCACGTTCTGGTTAGTAAATGTAAAATAGAAATATCAATGCTTATTACATGCTGATCTTTTAAATTTCAATTTGATTTTTTTTTTTGCAGAAAGCCCGTGTTGTTCCTCAGCCAAACGGTGAGATATTCTACCGACTTTGGCTGTACGATGGTCTTTACAAAACGTCTTTCGGCTCAACCAATTTCGATCGATTTTGGAAGAGCAAAATTGTGGGTGAAGCGGACAACAAGAATTCTCTTCCGGCGGTGATCAGAGTTCACAAAGTGAACTGCCTAACCTTGGCCAAAATTAACAGGTAATTTATTATTACTATAATTTTTTTAATAGAAAATTCTCTAATTGAAACCCCTTCTCAGGCCCATGTTTTTCCTAGCCGACGTTCACGTTGAAGGTTATAAAGAAGTGGAAGGTCTCGAGAATGCAATCAACCTGGATGACTTATTCGAAGGAGATTTGGTTTGGGAGGTGGAATCAGAGGCTGAATTGAAATTGAACACCCGAATCATTGATAAAATTGACGTCAAACCTTATTTGAGTTTGTCAAATTCAAATTCAGCCGAACCAAGTCAAAATGCCATCGAACCAGAGATGGACCAGACTAAAAAATCTCAGCCTTCCCTTCAAGGAATTGATGTAAACTATAAAAATAGGATCTCAATTTAATTTTCTAATAAAAATCCAATCTAGGCATTAGATGCAGATTTAGCCTCTCAGGGTCAAGTGCGGGCTCGCTTGACCTTCATTAGCCCTCTGCTTTGGAAACCAGATGGAAATTTTATCAAAAGTTTAACCTTCTCCACAAGATACTTTGACATCAAAGGAACAATCAGGCTCACAGAGGACATGTATTCAGCCCTGCCCCAGCTCAAGGAATGCATAATTTTGAAGGACATTCCTGAAGAGAAAACGAACATAGTTTTTAATACAAATCATTTCGGAGAAAGAACAAAAAGCAACCTCCTGCAAAGTGTTGCGTGTAATTTCGTCAACTTGAATGATATCAGACACCTGCAAGCAGACTCTACTTGTGGTCGGTCTTGAATAGCATAATTTTGAAAATTCTAAACTTGAATGCTTATTTGTGTAGATGTGATAGGGGTTTTAACCAAGGGTCCTATGAGCAAAGACTTTGGGAGGAAGGATCAAACAAAACTTGTGATTTACATTCAAGACCCAACCTGCCATTTTGAAGTAAACTTTAAATCGAATTTGATAATTAAATTGATTTTAATTTTTTTTTGTAGTTGCCGATTGAAATGTGGAAGAGTGCCATTAAGGGCTACAACTTTGAGAACAACCCTGTCGTGGCGTTCTTGAGAGTGAAACGATCGACTTTAAACATGTCAAGTCTCGTGCTTAAAGCGGAGAGTATGATTGTGGTGGGTTAAAATTTTTCTTATAATTTGTAAGAAAACTGACAATTTTGCCTTCAGGTCAACCCAACGTGGCTGAAAGAGTGCGGAGAGTTGGAAAAGTGGAGGAGAGCAAAGCGTAACACCAACGAAACAGACACGTTTAAAGAGGCGGTCGAGCTTTTAAAAAACAAGTGTGAAGGAGAGGTTATTATTCAAAGACTGACACTGACCAAAACGTGGGAGACACTGAATTTTAAAATTACCTGCACTCTTTGTGGCCTGAAAGCAAGTTTATATTTCCATTTTAAAATGGAATTTTTTAATTTTTTTGTTTCAACTTCAGGCTTATGATTTGGCACAAGTTACATTTGTGTGCAAGGGTTGTGGGCCAGTGGAGAAAGTCTTAATTGAAAATATTAATACTTCTGTAAGTTCAACTTGTTTGTGTTGTTATTGTTCAATTATAAGTATTATTCCAGTTTCAATTCTGCGATGGAATCAGATCGGAATGGGTTGAAATTGAAGATGGACCGTTTAGAGATTTGTTAGGTCTTCCAGCCACCCTGTATGGTACAATTGGAGAACCTGAACTCTTCAATAAAGTGCTTGCCATTAAGGACAAAGATTTTCAACTGAAAATTTTGTGTCGAAAGGTAACTAGCGTTGCTGATAATATCTATAATAACCAGGTTGCTAAATCAATTTCCCCCTCTTTAAGGAGCAGAAAGCTACAAAATTTATTCTCGTTGACGGAATTTTATTGGATAAAGTGGCCAATGATGATGACGCCATAATGCTGTAACAATTGTTTTTGGCTGGACCAAATAAGAACAATGCATTATCAAAGATCTTTTTAATTTTGTTTAGGTTTTTTTTTAAGTCTGTGAGATTTCATAAATTAAAATTTCATGAAATAAGCTGTTCAGTTTCACTTTATTGTGATGGCTCGCATGGCTGTGTCATAATTTACATAAATGGGTGGGGGAGGGAGGGGATCAAAATTTGTGGGCCTTTATGGTGTTCCAACTAGACTAAATTTACAAACAAATATTTTTTTTGCTTCTAAATTCACAATAAGCTTTCCTGTGGTGTGCTATTATCGCGTGCCTTTTCAATATTTTCTTCATTTTTAAGTCGCAGAAACATATTTAAAAAAGTTTTGATCTTTGGCTAGAAAAGATACAATAATTTAGTATTCATAATGATTAATTAAAAAACTTCAAGAACAGTTCAAGAAGAACTTCGCAAATTGGTCTTAAGGTGGTTATGGCACGTGGTTTCTCCGCTAGGCGGCAGCACCATCGCGTCGTTTTTTAAACATGCGCGCGAAGCTGCTTGACAATAACAAAAGATTCTCCTTGTTTAGCACTTGCAATTTGGGAATTTTCGGTAATTTTAAGCACAAATAAACTATTGTAAACAAATTCCGGCCATTAGGTTAACATTAGGATCATCTTTTAACCATAATTTGAGCCAAATTTATTTCATAAATCGTTATTATTAGTTAGAATTCAAGGCATCTTTTTTGGCCGCTTTTTCAGCTAAATCATTGAAGTGTTACTTATTCTTGCTAAATTTTGAATCAAAAAAGATACCCCAGGGCGCCCCAGGGTCAAGGTAAAAGGTTTTCGCATAGATTTTACTATGCTGAATCTTGCCATCCCTTCAGCTCCCTCGTAAAAGTCACCTTTTGCAAGTGAAATTATTTGAAGACAAAAAAAATGTCATCACTCGACGGATTTTACCGTTCTTTTTCTCAGAAACGATTTTTTTGTTTTTTTTACATTTTTTTATGGGATTAAATTTGTTGATCATCTTCTTTTTAATTTTAAGAACCAACGCACGAAGCATTCCTCAGGGCTCCCAAACCCTGCAATATTCTTCTCGGCTCTCGGCTTTTCCAGTTTTTACACACAATACACTTTTTCATAGAAAAGAAATTTATCTCAAAAAATTTGACTCATGAATGATACAGTTAATTAAGCAAGGATTGAAATGATATTATTACCACATTCTTCCACATTAACTACCCTCTGATATCAGTGTGTATGCTCTCAAGTGATTGCGAGTTACAGACCCCGGACTGGACAAAAATTTCCGTTAAAAAGAGGTATTTTATAATTTTTCAGCTAAGATTTCCATTACAACTAGGCTCTAACATACACTTAAAAGTCCACAAAACAAAGACAAATAAATTGAATGTTTTAGTGATCGAGTTAGAAGAATCTCATTTGCAACTAGAAGGCTAAAATCAACACAAGCCACAGCCGCATAACTTTATTTATTCTTATTGCCCTTTTATAATAAACTTTCTTGCTTTAAAAGTTGCAGAATGGATATGAGAATGTGTAAAAATATATCAACCACAAATGCAATCACCCTTCGATACGGCTTTCAAAAGATAAAGCTTATTTAGTTTGCGGACTCCATGAAACTGCTGGATCCTTGAAAAAGTATCAAATATTTTGCTAATTAAATTTTACAGATATTCATGATACTTTTTAGAGGGCAAATTGCATCAAAACGTCAACAAAATTCATGATCTCAAAATATTAAAATTAAAAAAAAAAAATTGTTAAAGAAATTTAAAAAAGAAAATTGATAAAGGCATCTTGTTAGCTTAGCCGATTCACACTTTTTGGTCCGTTTTCCCTTTTTGATAGGCCTTTAACTTGATTGTGTCAAAACGCAAGTGAGATTGTCTCATACCTATAAAATATATAAATTTTCAACCATCGATGGAAAAATTCGACAAATAAAAAATCTGAGATCAAAAATCTAAATTTGCACTTTACAGCAGGCAAGCTTAAGATTTTATATTGATAGCCATTAAGAAGGGTGGGTGCTTGAAATATATGTTTCCTATATAATTTTATAAATCTCAGATACAATTTGCAACTTTTAAAGCAGGAGAAATAGTTAAAAAAAAAAAAAAAAAAACACAATAAGAATATGAATCGAGCGACGCTGCTTGTATCGATTGGCCTTCTAACTCACTAAAATCTTTAAACAAAATTCTTCAACCCTTAAAGTAGTGCATTTTTAAGTGTATTGCTATGACAACATAAGTATCAAAATCACAAAATATATTTTGAATTATTACCTCTTTTCGAAAAAAAAATATTATCAATTCTCGAGCTTCTCGACTCTACGCAGTCAGTCGAAAAGACTCACGTAAATACACACTGTGCCATCAAAGGGGTAGTTATTGTGAGAAGAAACATCATCATCATCCTTGTGTTATCGCTGCACCGGCCATTAATATTTTTCAAAATTAAAAAAGGTTGTTTCTTCCAAACAAAGGGGTGGATAAAATCCGAGATCGGACTAAAAAATTGCAGGGTTTAGGGACCCCAGGAGGGCTTCATACCTGAAAATATGATATGTTAAAAACTATTGAACAAATCAAACCACAATAAAAAGGGTGACTTATAAAAATAAACCAACAATAACGTGCGTCTTATACCATTTCCTCCGACTTCCGATACGATTCACTAGCAATAGGCGACCTTTAAAGCAGGGGTTGAAAGGGTGGCTAGGGTTTACGTACTTAAATCTTTAATAAACCTTTGACATCTACACTGAGGCATCCCTAGTAATTAAAAAAATATTGAAAAACACGCCAGAAAAAGGTTAAAAAAACGATTTTCATTGAATAAACACAATTCAGACGGCAAGAGGCGCAGCTGATCTGCTGATTCAAGAGTCAAGCAGGGCTGCCAACTTATGAAACTAGATTTTCAAGTTTGAGCCTTCACTGCTTGGTCAGAATACTGGTGGCAACATTTTTCTCTCGACAGATCTTTTGTGAATTTATCTACCTGCGATTTGATTGGATAAAAGTGACGTGTTTACAATTCTTCCGCGAAGATATTACGCTTCAAAACCGAAAAAACAGTGGGGTAGATCAGTTTTTTCAGTTTAAATAAGAGATATTTGTTTTAAAACTTTTTACAATGGACATATTTTGAATCCTTGCTAAATTCCGCGTCGATTGATGTGTATATCATTATTATTTGACTGATAAATAGCATTGAAAAATAAGAACAATTGTAAAATCTAGGGTTGCTTGACTTCGGCGCTCGGAGGCCGTGACGTCATCGCGCGCCGTGAACACAATTTTTCGCGACGTAACCCCTGACGATTATCAGAACTTGATTTTTCATTTTTACAATAATCATTGTTCAGCCATAACACCCTAAATACTTATAACAAGTATAAAGTCTTCAAGAAACGTCCCATTTTGCCGCCACTGAAGCGTGGGTGTGTCCGCAGAAATGACGTCATGACTAAACAACCACGCCCATCCGCTAGGTCCCCCTGGGTGTGTTGACTGGCGGAAGAGGTGTATTTTGCAGAATTTGGGCCATTCTGCACCTCCAGAGACTTCAAAGATGCCGGTAAGATGAAGATTTTGTTATTGTGAGTCTGTAGGTACTAATAAATCAAGTTTTTAGGCGTACCATTCGCAGTTTGCGGAATCTAAACAAAGTGTGGGTAACATCGCCCTTCTTCCCATTCGCACCCAGTTCCGAGGACCTGCTCCGACTGCGTTTAACTCCAACCCCAATGATATGGACCTCATAGATGAAGCCATTTATTACTTCAAGGCTAACGTGTTCTTCCGAAACTACGAAGTTAAGGTAAAAACTAGTTAAAATTTTGTTTAAAAATTCCCTGATCTTACGATTTGTATAGAGCGAGGCAGATAGGGCCCTGATTTATGTGACGCTCTATATCACCGAATGTCTGAAGCGTCTGCAGAAGTGCTCAAGCAAGAACCAGGGAATGCAGGAAATGTACACTTTGGCCCTGGCTAAGTTCGACATCCCTGGGGAGCCCTCGTTTCCTCTAAACTCTGTATACGCCAAGCCAGCATCCGCGGCAGAGGCTGGTTTGTTTTCACCTGTTCAACTTTTGCACACTTTATATTTTTAAACATGAACATTTCAGATCTCATGCGCCAGTATTTGCAACAACTCCGCCAGGAAACTGGCGTTCGAGTTTGCGAAAGAGTCTTCAGCACCGAGGACGGCCGCCCTTCAAAGTGGTGGCTGTGTTTTGCCAAGAAGAAGTTCATGGACAAGGCTCTGCTTCCTCCTGGCCAGTGATATTCGTCACCATTCAATTTCTTGCATTTCCCAGTTTTTTTTTACAGCATACACAATGCAAATTTACTTTAATATTATGTTAACTTTGTTGAATTATATATTTTAAGACCTTTAATAAATAATTATAAGTGAAATAAACAAATACACACAAAGTCAATTCTCAAAATTTAAACCCATATTATTACTTCAAAATAGAAATTAGAAAGGAAAACCTCAAAATTATAGAAAAATCAACAACATTTATTTAAAATTATTAATATTTACAACATTATAGTGTTATTAAGTGTTACCACAGAAATGATGTGAGAGTGAACTTCAGACCCCTCGATTTGACCTCTAGTCTTGCTTTTGGGCTCTCCATTAGGTACAGTGGAGTCTCTGGCACCTGACCGCACAGTCTGTAAACAACCAAACAATTAATTTTGTTATTTTTTTTTTTTACAAATAAACAATTTAAAACAGTACCTCGTCAGAGACAGAGTATTCTCAGCTTCGAAAACTGTGATGCCTTGTTGCTCATCACAGGCAATCATGATGCCTTTCAGCTGCAAAGCCAAACGCCCTTTTGGCGCTTCTATACTGATGTTGCACTTTCCAGCAGGGACGGTCAGCTCCGTCACTTCGTTGCGGTCGCTTGCCAGTTTAATTGTTTGGTCGCATTGGCTGATTGCTATAAAAATTTAATTTTTATTTCTATTCCTGAAAGGTTATATTGATGGAAATACCGTTGTAAGAAGGAGGAGATTGTTGTGGCGCAGTTGGCTGGTTGTTTCCACCTATCTGTTGGTCCAGCAAAAGTGGTGGCACTTGCTGACTGCTCGGCGCCTCATCTGCCGACGGCTGCTTCTGGCTCTCAGGCTGGCCTCCTGCACTTGGTTGGAAGTTGCTGCTAGGAGGTGGCTGGAACTGACTGCCCGACTGGGGATATCCGTAGATGAGGGAAGTTTGGCTGTACGAGGGTTGCTGTGGTTTCTGATTGTAAACTGGCCCTTGTGGCTGGACGTACGAGTTGGAAGGTTGCGGCCAGTAGCTCGTGTAGTCTTGAGAACTTGCCGGGGCATCTTGCTGGACGTAGTTAGGCCTGCTTTGGCCTTGGGAGACTGCAGGAGGCCCCTCTTGCCAGGATTGTCCTCCGTAATTAGACCAAACTGATTGGTCGACAGCAGGGTTGCTCCCGTAAGAACTCTGGGCCAAAGGACGAATTGGGGAATATGAGTATGGTTGGCTTTGACTGCCAGAAGAACTCCAGCTGTACTGATACTGGGGCTTGGCATCAGTGGGAAAATCATTTTGTTGGGGCTTCTGTTCTTTGGGGCTTGAAATAGTTGCACTCTGCACAAAAGTGTGCTGTAAAGGAGACACTTGCAAATATCCCACTGATGCAGTCTGGCCCTCTTGCTTCGGGGGCGAGATGTAAAAATTTGACGCTTGAGGTTTGTAGGAGTTTTCTGCATAAGGTGATTTAATTTCATTAGGCGCAATATTATACTGGCCAGACACAAAGTAATATGGCCGGTACGGTTTGATTTCAATCGGCTGGTAAGAGGGCTTCTCATGAGCTTGGCCATAGGATGGCTTGATTTCAGGGACGTAGTTCTGACTTGATTGAAGAGCGTAGTTGGGTCTCGACTGGTACTGCGGCTGTTGCGGCCCATAGCCAAAATAGCTTGCAGAGGGATAGCTGCTCGAGCTGGTCAGATTTGGTTTAGCGACTTCAGGTGTTGGGTACGGCTGGAAGTAGGACGGCTTTTCTTTCAGTCCACTTCCAGAGACGGTGTTCATCTGCCATGGCATACCATAGGAAACCTGAGGTTTTGGTATTTGGCCACCGTACTGCCCAGGCTGTTGATAGAGGGGCAGGTATGGTTCACCGCCACCTTGAACAAAATAAAGTTATTGTAAATTAATATCAAATACATGAAATATTAAATTAAATAAAAAAAATGTGAATTTACCTGTTGTAACTTCCATAAACATGCTGCCGGTATTTGCTAGAGTGCTGGTTGTGGGAGGTATAACCAGGGGTGTGCTTGTAGGTGCAGGGGAGGTAGGGGTGACTGAGCTAGCCACAGAAGTCAGGGGTATGCTTGAAGTTGAAGGGGATGTTGGTGCGATCGTTGAGCTTGCCGCAGTAGAAATAATCAGGGGTGTTGATGAGGCAGGCAAGGTAAGGGTAGTTTGCTTGCTTGTTGTGGTGCTCAGGGTAGATTGAGAAATCAAAGAAGTGGGGATGGTGGTCATGATAGAATCTCTGCTCTCTGGGATGAATGTGGTTGCGAGGGAGTCGGTGGCTGTTGCTGGTGTGTCGGACGACGGACTCAACCTTGGACTGGTGGCTGAGTCCTCTTCATCCCTAAAAAAGCCTGCTCGGTGTAGAAAGGGCCTTCAGGGGACTCAGGCATGTTTCTCATTCCCTCCCAAGGTGCCTTGGGCGCTCTAGGGTTGGTCCTCACAGACTCCCAAGGACCTTGACTGGTCTCAGGGGCAACGGAACTCGGCGAAAAACCTTGAGGAAATTGGGTGGATGGAGCGCCTTTGTGCATTGGTGGCATATCCGAGTCCCTCGGCCGTTCGTCATACTGGACTTGATCAAAGGCAGCTTGGCCCCGAGGGAAGTTGTGGGGAGCATCATCCTGAGGAGCACCAGAGGTCACTGGTTTCTGCTCAGACGGCCACGACTCAAAGTTGTGGTGATGGTGGTGGTATCCGTGACTATGTCCGTGTTTGTAAACGTTGACAGGCGCGGGCCAACCGTGCTCTTCAACAACGACGGGTTTGTGACTAGGCCAGCTGAGGCTTGTTTGGGTGGGTGGAGTGGGAGGATTGGGCGCTTGCGGTGGGCTTCGAGGAGTGTCAACATTGGCTCCAAGGTCGGATGCCTTGACGGGATCAGTAGGAACGGCAGGAATGCTTTCAAGACTGAAATTGCGATCGGAGGAGGCTTGGATGAGATGACCGTGTCCATCCACACCGAAAAGAAGGGGCAGCGCACCAGTTTCTTGCACACTGGAGAGGAGAATGGGACGGCCGTTAGAGTCACGGGCTATCGTAAAGTCATCAGTGTCCTTGAGCAGGTACTTATCGATGGGGTCTCCTTCCTTTGGAGGGTCAGAGGCTGACATAGTATCTGCTGCAAGGGCAACACCCTGAACAAAAAAGAAATATTAAAATGAAAACTTGATGGAAAAAACAAAAAAATCTTACCTGATTGTTGTCAGAAGACAGAACAGTGCCATCACCATTGTCAGTTTGTTGCTGCTCCAAATCAGGCCAGACTTTTTCCAGATCACCAATGTCAAAATTAGCGGCTTTCAGAGACGATGCTAGGCAGCCAGCCAGCAGAAACGCAACAGCAAAAAGTTGCATCTCTCTGGAACATTTTACAGCTTGCATATCAAGAACCATGTTTAAGAAACCATGCGGGTGGAGTGAAATGGCATTATAGGAAGTGTTAGATTAATCGACGTTATCCAGGCGGGCTCATTAAATTTCTCTGAGCGCGCGCCCACATGCGGGACACTGATTAAAACATAATAATTCATATCCAATTGTGAAATTTGCACAAAGTTGCCAAATATTAAATCCGCTTTGGATGAGAATAATAGAGTATGATAAAATTTTTGGAAAAGTGGAGAGAGAAAGAAGCAATTTTCAGATTTATATTAATTTCATTAACTTTTACAACAACAGACATGGTGTCAGTCACGTCATGAAAAAAATTAGATATTAAAACATTTTCATACATTTTAAATACATTATGGGAGCTTAATTATATAATGGCAAGACGCAATTTATGTTCTTTGACTTCACTCAATACAGAAATTTAATTATGCAGATACTTTGGATTGAAAAAAAAAAACAAAAATAGTTTTAAAATATAATTTAGAAGCTGCTACATTTGTATCTTTCAGTTTGAAAACTAGACTTATTTGGTACTCACTGTGGAAACACTGGGTCCTGTCACACTAAAGTATCAACTCACACTGTCCCAAGTCGGCTTTGCCCACTTATTTATATACACCTGAGAGATGGGGGCATTAAAAAGTTCACTTTCCCTGCTTGCGCCACCCGCACATAACACGCTAATTGATATTTTGTTCATTGCTTGGCTCAAAAAGTACATTTCACGCGATGTCAAATTGCAAATCGAATTGATGGACCGTTGTCAATAGTCCTCATCTTCTGTCAAAACATCCTCTTCGTCCCATGAAATGGTGTTGTACTGAAGAATCTCATCATTCTCCAAGTGGCTTTCACCCTCCACAAATCGTGCAAATCTGCAATTAAAATGTTGTTCCGATTTTCACTAATGGCACAGCACAGCAGGATTTTAAAAGCGAGAAATTGACGAAAGTTATATTTTTGCCAAAAGAGACTACTTTCATTGTCATTTCACTGCACTGTTCTCAATTAACTGCAATCGATAAAATTTAATTTAATTTTCTCAGCTCAAGTATTTCAAACTTTGAACTATTTTAATTTGATGGATATTTTTTCCAATTAAATATTATTTACAGAATAAGTAAAACTTAATTATTTCTGACCTTTGTGGGTTGGAAAGGCTGAGTTGCAGCTTCCAGGGATTACTCTGTGGGGAGCTGCAGAACTCTCTAAGCTCCTTCAAAGCCTTTTCAGTTTCACTCGCTCCTTGAGCTTCGTACTCCTCAGGGGAGATGAATTTGTGTTGCGGACGGAAAATTTTTCTCCGACTAAAATCATTGAAGTATATCATTTAAAGACGTACTTCTAAAATGAAACATTTAAAAAGTTTCCACAAAAAAAAAAAAAAAAAAATACTTAAGATGATATAAACATTCAATAAGAATTATTTTATTCGTAACAGCTAACTAGATTGAGATAATTTTTAATTGCATTAGCTTGACTGGTCATCTTCTAATTGTAAGCCAAACACAGATAAAATGTGAAATTAATCTCACATGAAAGTGGTCACTGTGGCCGACCATCTGGCTGGGAAGTTGTAAATTGCCAGCGAAAGAAAGAGCACGGCAACGGATCCTTCGAGGAAGTGGGAGCTGAGTAGAATTAACACCCCAGCGATGATTTGAAGGGTCCACTGAATGCAGTCAAGGGTCCTGGGATTGCTCACTGGACCAAAACGATGGACAGCAAAGAAGGAAATCAAGCCTGTGACCAAAATGTACGCAGCCACATGTCCTCGGTACTCGTTCATAATTTGTCGGGCATTCTCGTAGGCCAGTCCGAGGAAGTACACACCAACCATCCAACCACCAACCATTAATGACATGGCCAATCCTTTCTATAAAAAAATCAATAATAAATAGATTGAAGATAAGAATTTTTAAATTATTCTCACCTTTGGAAAAATTCTCCACAGGAGAATTGAGACAATCAGAGCCGAGGCCAGCATTCCGAAGCTGACACCAGTGAAATAGTGGCATATTTTGCTTCGAGCAAGTTTGGGAGCCAGAAAGAGAAGGAAAATTCCTGCAAAAGAAAATTGACAAGAATGTTAATAATTCTGTTTCCTTTTTTTTACCAGCCAAATAAAATTTTTTACCTGCAAGACAAGTTGCCAGTCTGTAGTAACTGATGTGAAGGAGCACAAGTCGAGCCTCGACGGCGCTCTTTTGGCTTGAGACCCCAATGCATGACGAGTTGAAAGGGGTCATCTGCACCTCAGTGGGTCCTTGAGACTGTGATGAGAACCACGACCACACTGACTGCTGGCCTTTGTAGCTGGCCTCGACTTCGGCAGCTGAATTTCCAAGGTAGACGGACCAACCAGCTCCAGCAGGCCCTTTCAATTCCACCTGAGAAGGATTTTTTGATATCACAGGGAAAATAATTAACGATCTGCTTACAAATGTTGACTGGAACATTTTGGCCAGCGAGGGCTCCTGTCCTTGGTAGCAGAGCACATGAAGGGAGACGGAATTCGGGCAGGTGACCCATTTTCCAGCCACCAAGTTAGCTAAAAGTTTAAACATCAAAATTAACATTCAAATAAAGTGAAAAATCGACGATAAAATTCGGTTGGTTTTTAAACCGGCATGGCATGGAGTTGCAGGACGGATCCAGAGGTGTTCTTTGATTTGAATTTTTGGGGAATATTTCACTGGAGCAGGACATGAGCTGCACTCAAAATTCACCTTTGTCTACAGAAGCGGCCGTGGCTCCTTGAACCGACCAAAGCAGAGGCCAAATGAGCATAAAAAACGGCCAAAATTTGCCAGTCTCCATTCTCGTCACAGCCATCCTGTTGCTGGTTTGTGTTAATGTGTTTACCGGCTGAAAAGAGGGTGGGGCGGAGTGATGGAGCAACAATAGACTTTTGTTAACATCGGCGCCAAATTTGGCGCCAATATTGCGTGCTCGCTCACAGCCTCATTTTTATGGTTGCGGAAATTCCATGTCTGTCCAGGCTGATGGACAGACACGAATAATATCCGGAACCAGAAAATTCATAGCATGTTTAAAACAAATTTTGTAAAATTTTTTTTAAATAAAAGTAAGAGGCACTTGGCTGGGTTGAAGCTGCGCAAAATTTTATTGGTTTTTCTTTCTGTATAATAAACATTTCCTTCTGAACACTCATGAACAACACACATACACACAGTTATGAATAAGATATAGAGAAAGCCCTGCATTCTTTCGACATCCTTAGCTCCATCAATGGGTCCGTGGAAAGCGTTTAAAATAATTAAGGCACAGTGATGGAGATCTCCAAGCATAAAATTGAAATTTTCATCAGCCAAATCGAAGAGAGGTTCAAATGCAGATACCAGATACATTTTTAAACAGCGAAATTTAAAGTATACGTGCTATACTCATTGAAAATCAAATAATATGATTTGAATGACCGGTGCGATATAAGAAAGTATAAAAATTCACATAACTTTATAATAAATTATTAGCATCTCTATTACAAAAATCATCTGCAAAATTAGCAGTAAATACTATGGAAAGGCATTTTAAAGCGACATAAATTCGACAGCAGTGATATAAAATTGCACGATTTGCAAAGGAATGTGGCTTTTCGATTGAGAATGAATTGTTTTGGACCCTGCGAATCCATCATCTGCTGCTCGACTCGAATTGTGCAAGTAACAAAAGTGGATGATCACTGAGAGAACAGTTCGAAATGTAGCACATTCAGATTCCCCCGTCGTACGAGTAGTCGGCCTTGTTGTGCATGATCAGCCGGTCGTCGACAAAGTAGAAGCTGTCTGAACGTGTCTCAAAGGGGTGCTCTATCATTTCTCTGACTGGAAAAGTAAAAGCACAAAATCAGCTCAATTGCAAACAAAGGTTAACAATAATTGAAATATTATATTCATCAATAAAAATTTTAAATACCTAGATCTGAACTGAGCGTCGGGAATTCATAAATGTGCTCGCAAGTATTTTTGCTGTTCGGAATGCAAAATCCAAACTCAAAGTCAAAAGACTTGAGCAGCTTGTCTCTGAAGAAGTGACGCTCAATCATCCTGAAGTTGTTGACGGCTTTGCTGCCAATCGTGAACTCCACCCTAAAAATGTTATTTTTTAAGTTTAAGGTTTGAAACTGGAAATAAGTCTTACGTGGCACCAACAGTTTTGAGCTTGAGGAATTGCGGGGTGAACTGGTATCGGACAAAACGGCCAGCATTCGGGTCCACCTCTTCATTTTCATGATCAGGCTCATCCTCATGGTCAGAATTTGAGTCTTAAAATGAAATAACAAAATTTAAGACAAAAATTTTTGGTTATTAAAATTTTATACCTGTGTGTGGCGGTTTGGCGATTTCAAACAAAATAGTTCCGGTCTCGAGATCTCTGATTTTAAATCTGGTGAAGTCGATCTCGTAAACGTTGGCGTCAGGCGAGCACAGGTAGTCTGCAAAATTATTAAAAATGGTAGCAGTCAGTGCCAGTTCCTTAACTCTAATTAGCGCAATCACAGGCAACATTATTCATATAAAAATATTTCACCGCGCACCTGAGCTTCATTCATAAAATTTATCGATCTCAGCGCGCCCCATTTGTGCCATTAAAACAGAAGTCGCTTCTGGTTTTAGCTGATGATTTATTCATGCCAAAATGTCCCCACAGAGAAAGTCGACTTCTAGATGTTAATTATTAAAACTTGTAAGGCGGAGCTGGTGAATAAATGAATGGTGGGCTTTCGGAGCATTTGATTAATGATCTTACAAACTTTGAAGGATTCAAATGTAATATTTCAGATGCAATGATTAATAATTGTAAACAATTGAATGTTTAAATTATATTACAATTTGAATGGCAGTAATTATTCAATTTCTTAAATATTGGTTTAGCCGCTTCCTTATTAATTAAATTTATTGAACAAACTCAGAAAATTATTGATTAATTGTAATTAAATCTATAACATGTTTAATTAGGAAATATTCTGAAAGTTCATGATGTAAAAAAAAATTTAGGGTAATACAAAAATAATATTTTTAATTTGAAACAATAAAAAGAAATTGTTGAAGAAATTGGAACTGGAGAAAATAATCATGGAAATGAAGATATTGAATAAAATAAATAAAAATATTTAATTATATAAACTAAGAAACAGCTAACTTTAGATAGTTTTAAAATTGTATAACATTTTCTATTGAACACATTAATTGTGTTCTGTTTCCTTAATTTGAAAAGAGACGCGTAAGTAAGGTTAAACTAATTAACAGCAACAAGGAACCCCTTCGCTTTCGGGACGATAAACTTAATCGTGGCTCGACCTACAAACTGTCTTTTACGACGAGGGGTCGCGTTTCACGTTCCATCGCGGCTCCAAATGGAAATGTGTGGTGTGCGTGACCAAAGAAACGAACTCGGCGCAAATAAAATATTGTCCATTTTGGCGCAGCCTCATTAGGGGCGCGAGTTATGCAAATTCGCCTGAAATTAGGCCTCGCCGATTGATTCTTGCGCCTCACTGTCCGTATAAATAATTCAGACGTGGGCGGTGGCGGCGCTTTTGACGCCCTGGAATGAATGGAACGGAGAAAAAATTTAATGAGAGTGCAGACCGATAAAGAGAAAAGTTGGCTGCACGAGGATGAAAGAGCTAATTACAAAGTTTTGCGTGAGTCACTTTTGCTACGAGAAAAAAGTAGTCTCTCAGCAAGATATGAAAGGCTTATCTCTTGCAACATTAATCATCTCGTTTTTCCTTAAGAAATTTTGTGATAATATGAGTTATATCAGTTAAAAATTATTTCAAAAAGTTAAAAATCGCAATTAACAAATGACAGAAAAAAATTGAACGAAAATTTCGTAATTTTGGAATCAAGCAATAATCAAGATCAGTTTAGATAAAAATTAAATTAATTATTTAATTTCATCTGAAAATATAAATTATTTGCATTATTTTGAAGATTTTGTGATAATAATAATATAAATCTTTAATTTTTAAATCCATTTTTCACTTGGAAAAATAAGTTTAAGTTTAAAAAATAGATTTTACTGAAAAAATAATTTTTTTCTTAATAATTAAATATTATAAAAAAATTTGAAATTGTTGCTACTCTTTACTAATTGGAAGTATTGTTATTTATTACAATTTTTTTTTACTGATATTGACAGGTTCACTGATCAAGAGTGGAAAATAATGCAACAAATTTGCTGCCCTTGCTCAATCAATACCAAATTTCAAATTTCAATCCATTAAAGTAAATTGGAAGCGATCAGGTTGCTCTGCATTAATTTAGAAACACCATCGGATCCAATATGAATAATGGAAAAATGCATCTGTTGAGCCGGAAAAGGTCGCAACGCCACCGACCTCTGAAATTGATTTGTCAATATAGACAAACTCAAAGTTTGCTTTTCCGCAAATAATGCAAATCGATGTCGGATCAATCGACGTGGTGTTTTTTCACGCGAGAGAGTGCAGACGGAAATAAGAGAGCTGGGGATGGTAATTGAATGGATAGAAGAGTCCGAAGTCGTATACCAAAGAACAATTCTTTTTTGTTGTGAAGGACGTGGAACAAATTCCCAGGAGAGGGCAAAACTTTCGCTGTTGGCCAATGGGGGTGCACGCGAGGCTCATCCTTTGATCATTATTTTATCAGGGTGCATTTCTATCGACACAATTTTTCTGATTGATTGAAACTCGGGCACATAAAATATCAGATTAGAAAATTGAAAATAAAACTTTCTTAAAATTTAGTAATGTGAACTAATGTTATTTAAAATAATCCCAACTAATTAAACTGCTTTAATTTTATTTAAACTAGTTAAGATCCAATAATTTAGGAAGTTTTGGGTAAGGGGTTAAATTTTAATCATTATTTAAAAATTTAATTCCATCTTATTAATCAAATGGATTGGATTTCAAAATAATATATTTTAGCCTTTATTTAACTTCACTTTTTAATATCTATATGATAAAATTTAATTATTTATCAATTAAAAAAATTGCAATATTTTAATAATAAAAAGCAGTTTAGTCACATTGGAAAGATTAATAATTGTCACTGAAATAAACTACAATAATTATTAATCTTCAGATAATGAAAAAAATATTAAATTAAATTACAAAAATTTAATTAATATTTCGAATATTTCATAGTTAATTCATTTTTAGTAAAAAATATTTTTGAATAATAGTATTTTATAAAACCAACTCACTTTCTGTGATTCTGGGCAACCTGAGGACGTCGTCGGGACTGACAAAGCCCTTCATGACCAGCGCTTCCTCTGTCACCTCGGCTGAAAAGAAACTCTCGATAGAGAAAATGAGGACCAAATCTTATCTATCAGATCTATATCTCTGCGTGGAAATTTTTGTACGTTTGTGGTTAGGGCAAAGGGGTGTGCGATGTTGAACCTCTCACGAGGTTAGAGACCAGGATTTGCCCACGTACCTTCGACCTGGCGACTCCGGAGGGCGTCGGGCGTCTTGAGCGACTTGCGGACGCAGCTCATGTTGGGTCGGCTGCCTGCTTCGGTGTCCGCCCCAGTCTTGGGCACGAGGAAATTGTTTTATTGCACTTGTCGAATGTGTGTTTCAAGCTGGGTCGAACGTCAGTCGATCAGCTTGCGAGGAAAGAAAACACCCGTCTGCGGCGCCGCCACCGCCGTCTGTCGGCGCCCCCCGAACTAATGTGAGCACCGAAATCGTGGAGGTAAAATATACGTACAGAAAATCCCATGAGCGCGAGTATCACAGTGTTTGATAATTGACTTGCCAGGGCTGCTAGTGAACATAATTATTCATCTATGATGATTTCGTTTACTTTCTTTACCTCACTTTCCCTCTTCCTTCGTCTCCTTTTCTTCTTTTTTTTTTAGGTTTATTTTCCTCTTCTGCTTCATTATTGCTCTGATAGAAAAATGTCAATTTGAATTTCGATTCATTTCTCTTTTTGGAAACTTTTAACTTTGTTTTTAAACACAAATGATGGGATTTTCTTATATTTAAAAACACTTGGCACGTACCAAGCCAAAAGGCTAATAAATAAAAAATTAGAATTAACTAGAATTTTCACAGCTAGGCTACCCGCGTAGCAACAAAGTTTTACAGGTTGCATAGCTGAAATATATCTCAAAATAAAATATAATAAATATGATAAATATTATATAAATTACCTACAATATTTATTAAAATAAATAAAATTTAGGATGCAATGCAACATAAATACACGTATGCACTTTGTAACTTTTTAAATAAAATTTATTTTACTTGTTAAGCATTTTGCAACAATTATTATTATAAATACACAAATATGTAACATTTAATCTGCTTTTTTTATCAAAATAAAAGCTACCGTTTATTTTCTGCATTCATAACAGTTAGATTTTAGGATGTTCTTATTATTTGGTGTCAAACAAGAAAAGTAAATTCCGTTTTTTTTCTAACAACTTAGTAGAATAGTATTAGGCAATATAATCAGGATAAAAATTAGCCGTGTTTGTAACTGAAGTTTTACTGATTTGTTATTTTAATTAATAATTGTAATTTGGATGTTAGTGATTTTTTTTGTTACAAAAATGTGTGTGTGTTATAAAAAAATAAAGTGATTATTTTTTCATTTGTTTATGTGCCAAGTACTAATACCAATAATAATTGCTTGATGAAAAATAAATGAATTTATTGTGTAGCGACTGTAAAATCAAAATTAACGTATGCATTTTCAAAACATAAAAAATTTTGATGTCTGAAACGTGAGACTTTTCACGCTAAAAGCGACATTCCACCAGGGCAGTTTGCACGTATGCAGAACAGAAGCGATTAAAATGTGAATTCGTGCTGACAAGTCTAATTAAAATAATTATAGTGTATTTTTTTTCTCTGAAAATAAGAAAGGTGGTGGCGGCGTCCGTGGATAAAATTTTGGATCGAGGCCGCGGGAGCCGCCCCTGAGATAGTGGCCTTCGACACTCTGTCAACGATAAAGGAAGGGCGCTTAAAAAAAATTAAAAAGGGACAGCAGTCATGTTTTGGTTTTTGGTTGTGTTGGTGGCCGTCGTGGTCACCACGAAAACCGCCCCCATCGACCCTGAGGATTCCTGGATGACTGACGAGGACGATTTTTACGACTTTTACGGCCAACCAGACGCAAACACAGGAGAAAGAGTGGCCGCTTGGAATCCTTTTTCGAGGGTTTGCAAGACATTTTTCCATTTTCTGTTTGATGGAGATAATCAAAATTATAAAAGATGAAAAGTATCTGATTTATTTAATAAATTTTCAGAAATTAGTATTACGTCACATAAATTTACGAATATATTAAAATTAAATCTGAGTTCAATCTCAATATTTGTGAAACACTGTTCACTAAATCTAAATACAACCATAATGTTATCAAATTAAATTTGATAAACTATTATTTAAATTAGAGCAGAAATTGCCCTTTGCTAATTTCACAATTTGAAATAAAAGAGACAATTAAAAGAAATAATTCCAATTTTCAAATTGCTCCACACTATATAAAGTTCTGATATCTGGAACACGCCAAATTAAAAATAACAAAGTCACTTCATTTTCATCATTGGTTAAAACACTGTTCCATACCAAACTGTGACTATTATGATTTTTGTAAACATTTTTAAATATTTATATGTTTAGTTTAACACTTTCTAATCGTATATGGAAATTTTCAAATCTTCTTAAAATTTAGATAAATCCGGAGGAATTGGGAAGCTACGCCAAGGGTGACATTCTGATTCCTCGCGACCCACCCTTGGAAGGTGTGCGAAACGCCCTGGTGGCGAGCGAAGCTCGATGGCCGGGAGCTGTTGTTCCCTACGTAATCAACGGGACGTTTTCCCTTGACGAGGTTGCGACCATAAGCGCCGCTATGACATCCATCGAGCAATTCACGTGCATCAAATTCGTGGAGCGGACCACAGAAGTGGACTATGTGACCATCGAGAGCGGCGCCTCGGGCTGCTGGTCATCCGTGGGGCGCATTGGAGGAAATCAGGTCCTCAATTTACAACCACCGGCATGTGTTTGGAATGTAAGTTTGTTTATGTGCAAAAATAATAATAAATAATTATAAAAATATATAAAGTGCTTAAAATATTTAATTTTTTAAATTAAATGATAATTTTGTATTATTTTTAAATATTATTCTTATTATTTGCTAATTTTTTTATTTAATAAAATGGCTATAACATTTTAATTTAATTAATTTTTTATATTATTTATCATTTTATTTTTATATTTTATGAAGTTAGTTAAAGGCATTTAGTGTGGATATTTGCACTTCAACAAAAAGTTTCAAAAGGAATTTTTTTTTGTTATCTTATGATATTTGATGAAATTTAAATTAATTATGTGAAACAATTATTGATTATTATCCAATAAAGATTTAATGTTGGAATTTGCACATTTTAAATAAAACTCCGCAGGTGGGGACGCCTATTCATGAGCTGATGCACTCCCTGGGATTTTTCCACGAGCAAAGTCGCCACGACCGCGACAAGTACGTCCAGATTTTCTGGCACAACGTGCAGGTCGGTCAGGACCACAACTTCAAAAAGTTTGACCGAACATTGGCAACCACGGTCGTGCCCTACGATTTCAACTCAGTCATGCACTACTCCGGTTTGGCCTTCAGCAAAAACAACAAAAGCACCATCAAGCCCAAGGTAAATTTTCTCTTCAAAAACGCATTTATTAAAATATCCTTTATCGATGCACAACACCAGAATTTTGAATTCGAAAAAATTTCGTAGAACAAATTATTAAGAATAAATAAATATCTCGAATCTTTTTCAGATGAGTGGCGTGAGACTCGGACAAAGAGACTATCTGAGCGCCAACGATATCAAGAAAGTGAAGCAAATGTACCAGTGCAATTAATTTAGATTTTTATAATATCTAATTAGGACTTCACCCCCAATTTAAATATGTTAAAATTAAACAGTTTTTATATTGATTAGTTTGGAATAAAATAAAAATTTTCGTGCAACTTCGTTATTTTTTATTTTCTTATTGATTCAAGAAATCAAGGTCTGATGGTGACTCCGGCATTGGCTTCGAGCCAGTCGAGGTACCAGGTGACCCTGGTGAAGGCAGCGGGCCATCCTGACTCGCAGCCAAGCGAGACGCCGAAAGAAACAATGCCGATCTCGGTGGCTTCACCGTCGGCCTCGGTGATCACAAGAGGACCGCCAGAGTCGCCATTGCAGGTGGACGAGGCACCACCGTCGGCGTCGCAGCACAATTTGTTTTCGTTAATAATCAGGGGGCCGTAAATGGCCAGGCAGTCGTCTTGAGTGATCACTCGCAGGTCCACGTATTTCAAATCGACGTTAATAGAAGACGAATCTAGAATTTTCAAATTTTTTTTTAGCTAAAAATATTTAAAAATGGATTTTTAATGTAGTCGTGAGTTGATTGATTAAAAAAATACTGTATTCAAAAATGAATTTTGAAGAATTTTGGGCATATATCTAAGTGAGATTTAAAAAATTCTTATTTTTATTTATTTGGATAAAAACAGAAAACTGGCTTTACATTTTTCTGATTGAGATTTTACTTGATAGCAACTATCATAGACCATTTATAAAAAAAATTTAATGGATTTTATTTATGTTAGTGAGTATGCGAGTATTTTATATATAATACTAAATTTTAAAACATTATTATCAGTGCCCTCTTACATACGTTTGGTTACCATGTTTTTTGTCGTCGAATTTATCTAATAAATAATTTACTGCACAGGGTTTTTATTTTATAGTCTTTTTTTCAAAAACAATTTGTATAAACTTCAAAATATAAATAATTTAGTAAGGAAAGAGAGGTCAAACAAAATTTTAATAAAAATATTTTATTTTATCCAAGATTTTAAACAAATTCAAGTCAAAAGCAGTACCAGTATAATGCTTGTGTGATTTCTTGTTAAAATTTTATTTTTTTTGTTTTTTTTTGTCGTCAGCATTCAGAGGGAACAAAAAATATTTTAATTGAGAATTTTTGATTGCTAGCCTTTTATAAATTTTTAATTTTTAATATCCTCACAAATTTCTGCAAGGATGCACGTGACATACTATTATGATATATTGTGTAATTTTGAGGGGATTTTTTATTTAATCAATTTAATTAAAAAATAAAAATTATTCTTACTGTCGGAAGATTTGCCCCATCCAGAAACGCGAGCAACAGATTGAGCAAAAGTTGTGTTTTCTTGAGATCGGGACGGAAGACGAACAGGCGCGATGTCTGTTGAATTAATTTTTTGTATTTTTAAATTAAATGCTTGAAGAAAAATAATTTACTGGGTCCAGAAACAGCTTCAGAAAGTTTCAAAATTCCAATGTCGTTGTTAATTACGACACCATTGTATTCTTCGTGAAGAACAGACACATTGGTGGAAACAACCACGCGGCCAGGCTCATCAATATTGTTGAAATTCAGGGCACCTGCGTGCACTTCCCAGAATGCAAAGCTGGATTTTTATTTTATATTAAATTTATTAAAATCAAACGATCAGTACTTATTGATGCAATGTCCAGCGGTGAGAACGACGTCATCGGCGATCAAAGAGCCGCCGCAAAAACCTGCACCCTCGATCAAAACTGCGACCTGATATTTGAATTGTCCTTCGACGGCATTTTCTCCTCCGATAATTCGGTTTTTGGAGAAGTGAGCTAATCATAAATCAATTTATTATTTTTCGCTAATTTAATTTTAATAAATCTCACGTCTTCTCAAAAGAGGAGGCTGTGGCTGATGAGCAGGTCTCACGTCAGCCCAGTCTGTAGCCTATTTAATTGTTCACAAATATCTTGAAAATTGGAAGAGTATAATTTAAATTAATAATAATTAATCACCTGCGCTACGGCAAAGAAGAGACAGCACGCCCAGATGAACCTCATGATTAGAGAAAAACTTACAAAGCTGATCTTTTGCTTTTGATTGATTTCTAATCAATATTTGCAATCTCTTACAGACGTTGTTTCAGAAGTTGAAAAATGTTTCTCATCTTATAGATATGGAAGGTCCAAAACACCCAATTTAAAAGCTGCGCAACACAGACACTTGAGTCTCGAACCTTGGTCGCCAGAACGGGTCAATCAAATTGCTAATCAAGATGTCGATAACTGCATAATTTGACTGACTGACTGGTTGCGAACAGTGATAAGAGTTTTGAAAAGCGTCTCCTATTATAAGAAGGTTCAAATCATGATGCAAAATCAAAGAAAACAGCTTTGTGTTGCTCAACGATTTGATAAGATAAGGAACGTAAGTTAAAATAAATTGGGCGAAAATTCCCAGCAGAAAATAACCAATGAAGGTCTTTATTTGCGCAATAACCTTAAAGTATTCTCTAAGGTCTCAAGGTGATTCCAGCATTAGTTTCCAACCAACCGAGGAAACTGGTCACACGCGTCAGGCCACCGGGGAATCTCGATTCGCAACCAAATGAAGTTACAAAACTATTGATTCCAATTTCCGTGGGCAAGCCGTCTTCTTCGTAAATCACCAAAGGACCACCAGAGTCACCCTAAAATTTTACTCCTTGTAAATAATCCTTAAATTAAAATAAATATAATAAAAAAAAACTGACGCTGCAGATGTTTTCGGTGCCGTTGTTTGTACTGATGCAGATTTTCTTATCGTTGAGGACCAGCTCACCATACCAAGCTTGGCACGCTTCGTTAGTAATAATGGTTACGTCAGCAAATTTGAGATCAGGACTGATGCTCGTTGCGTCTAAAATTTTTTAAATTAAAAAATTGAATAAATTTATTTTCCATTATTTCAGCAATATCCCATTTTGGAGGGTCAATTAATTTAAATATATGAGAAATATGAATTTACATTAAATCTTCAACTTACTGTCAGACGGTTTTCCCCAACCACTGACCCTTCCGGTCTGATTAGCAAAAGTTTCATTAGCCATTGACCAAGAGGGCAGCCTCACAGGCGAGATATCTTTTTTAATGGAAATTAAAATTTAATTACGAGTAATTTTTAAAGTGCTGAAAACTAACTAGGGCCAAAAACGGGATCTGGAAGGTTGACCAAGGCAATATCATTATTGATGATGAGGCCGTTGTAATTTTCATGTAGGGTCGCGTTGTAAGACGTAACAATGACGCGGCCAACCTCGGATTCATTGTTAAAATTCAAGGCGCCAAGATGAACTTCAAAGGAGACGAAGCTGACAACAGGATTAAATTCTGTGGCAAAATAATTTATTTCTGTTTTTTACTCCTTGACACAGTGGCCTGCAGTGAGCACGACTTGGTCAGCGATAAGCGAGCCCCCACAGAAGTACGAGTCGTCCATTCTGATTCCAACTTGATATTTCAATTGTCCTTCAACTGCATTTTCTCCGCCAATAATTCGTCCCGCAGGACTTTCTAAATAAATAATTGAATTATACTAAATGGGTTTGGAATTTATATTGTACCACCATTATTTGGCACAAAGCCGATGCTTCTTTTCGCCCCATTGCTCTAATTGTCAACAAATAATACATTGAATTAAAACAAAAAACTATAAAGTGGTGAATTACCCAAGAGAAGCAGAGGAGAGCTAACAACGATGATATGATTAGTAGCCTCGTCATGTTTACAATGCCAACCGCTTTGCCACAGTCAACAGCTCACACTACTTTTTTTTGTATTGATAAAATCAACACTTGGAATGATTAGAAGCGACAATGGGAAAGAAATTTCAATGATACTCTAAAATTTTATTTTTTGAGACTCATATTTTAACAAGGAAACATTTTTTTACTCCTTTAATTAATAGTGCAACGCTCACTCATCTCATATTTTTGGTGGCGCTCGAAAGCGATTTTTAAATATAAACGATTGCTTTACTTATTTTTAAATAGCCAAATGAAAAAGAATGCAAGAATATAAATATAGATAGATGCCAATATTTTTTAATGAAAAAGTGTTGCTATTATATAGGCTGCAGTTTTGTTTTCGCAAGAAGTTTATGATTAGAAGAAAAAAATGCGTACAAAATGTTAAATTCTCAATCTGGTTTTGCACATTTTGCGGTCGGTCACACCTACGCTCGCGCTCAAGATTAACAAAATTTCCCGGCGTATCAAACGCTCAATATAAAATTAATTATGATTATCTTGCATAAATTTCCCAAAAATGCAGGTCAAGCTATAATCTGAAAATAGGTTTGATAGATAACAATTTAATTAAAATTAATTAAGTTATCTCGTTGTGGGGAAAATCCTTTGGTCGTTTCAAAATTCCCATCAAAACCAAGTATATCTGGTTTAAATAGAGAAAAAATGTGCAGAAGAGAGGCACTTAAAAATAATAAAAAGCCGAAGTTGATTTATTTATATTTTAATAGCTATAAAGATATTTAAAAAATTAAGTCGTGAACATTTTATTTGTGAGTTAAAAATTATTAAATTACAATAAAATTATTAATTATGTAAAATTATATATATAATAATTTTTATTGATTTTAAATTTAAAATTTAGTATTTTTAAACTTCCTAATTTAAAAAATTTTTCACTGTAATAATTTTTTGTTCAAATATAAAAAATAAAGTTTTTGTATAAATTTAATGGTAGTAAAAATTGTTGGCAAATACAAGGGCATGTATAACACATAATTATATTGTTGGAATATTATTTATCTACACCTGATGTAGTAAATATTCGATCTTTCTTTGAAGAGAAAAATTGTTTGAAGTTTGAAATTCATTTGTGCGAAAATCTGAAGCTCAAATGTAATCTGCATAATCTCTAGGCAAATCTTTTGACTGCTGCGTGGGTAATTTGCTATATAAAAGTTAAACTAATCAGCGATAGCGCATCCCCCGGCAACTAAAAAAATTAAAAAACCTTGCTCTACACGCGATAAGCTTCATATAAAAGACGAGGCACCGGCGTATAGCTTTACTTTCAAAACATGAAGGTTCTCATCGCTTGCTTGTTCTTGGTTGCTGCCGCTCAGGTTTAATTACTTTGCGTTTATCATTTTTCTTAATTTTATAATAAGAAATAACTTTAAATGAATGTAAAAAAACATTAAAAAAATAATCTGTTATATATTCTGAAACTAATACAAAAAGCTTTTTTTTATTCTAGGCCACGGAGTGGGCTAAGGTCCGTCCTGTCTACAAGACGCGCCCTGGACTCCGACGTAAGAAAGCCGAAAATATATAACAATAGAACATTTCTGAAAAAATACTTTGCATGCAAAATTAGCCGTCATCCCTGGCAAGATCATTGGTGGCGGTGTTGCCACCTTGGGGCAGTTCCCTTACCAGGCTGGCGTCACCATTGACTTTGGTGGCTTCTGCGGAGGCTCCCTGATTTCCGAGTCTGTTGCCCTCACTGCCGCTCACTGCATTGACGGGTAATTATATTTTCTCATATATATAGGTTATTATTATTTCACTTTTCTTAATTCGCAGAGCCTTCATCTGGGAGGTTGTTCTGGGCGCCCAAAACATCAATGATAACTCCGAGCCCACCAGGCAAACCTTCGTCTCGCAGAACGCTCAGTTGCACGAGAACTACAACCCCAACACCATCAACAACGACATTGGCATTATCAATTTGGGAGGAGTCGCCAGTGGCGCAGGAATCAGCCCTGTCAGGCTGCCCTCCAGGTCCCAGGTCGGCACCACCTTTACTGGTGACAGAGTTCGAGTCTCTGGATGGGGAAGGTTCTCTGACTGTGAGTCGTTTTCCCCCTTTAACTTGTAGAAATAATAATTTTGTAAATCGGTTTTAAGCTAACCCGTCTATCAGCCCCGAACTGAAATTTGTTGATGTGACCGTCTTGGCTAACGCTGATTGCGCCTCTTACTACGGCAACATCATCAACGACTCCAAGATTTGCGTCGACACCAACGGTGGAACCGAAGGAACCTGCAACGGAGACTCTGGTGGCCCCCTGGTCGTCACCGAGAGCGACGGTGAAGTCACTGAAATCGGCATTGTGTCCTTCGGCTCCTCCGCTGGATGCGAGTCTGGCGCTCCCGCTGCCTTCACCAGGGTCACTGAGTACTTGGACTGGCTCGAAGCCAACGCTGGAGTTACCATCAGGCCTTAATTTGTTTTGATTCAGAAATAAATTGAGATATTAAGATAAATATTTTTTTACGGATTCCACTTAAATCTTTAAAATTCATTATATCTATAGGAGCGAATATAAGACAATTATTATATATCTATGTTTATAAAGCATCTCAAATGTGAAATCTGCTCTTTCAACAACGTTTGAACGTTACATGAAAATCGTTGGTGCCAAACTCAGAATTTATTTAATTATGATAACAATCTTTGAGTAGAACAAATTTCATTTAAAAACAATATTAAGATTACTAACGTTTGGCGACTTTAATTTTTGATAATGAGTATAGCCGTTAAAATTGTAGGAATATTAACATTAAATTAATATATTGAGAAACTTTTCACTAAATATCAGAGATTTTTCTTAATCAGCAGTCAAATAGTTCAAATAATAATTTAAATGATTTGATTAATTATCTGAAACTTACAATTAACATTTATTCAGCAATATTTCTTTATTTATAAATATTTTATGACTAAATATAAGTATTGAGCCGCAAAAATTTACGCCAGATAAAAAAAAAATGGTTTTGATTTAAAATTCTCACCATGAGTATCTAAGATAATATTCATTTAAGGTGTACCCAGCACTGTGGTAGATTTTAGCTTATTTTAGATAAGTCCCATTTTATGGAATGCAATGGAAGGTAAAAGCTGTACCGCTAGTAGAATCATATATTTAAGGCATAAGCCTCACCTAAAAACGTATATGACAAATTAAAATCATAATCAGTGCGTGGCAACACAGTCGAAATCTTCGTTCGATCTGTGATGTGATAACCATGTCATAGGAGACAACCAACAAAAGTTGCTACTCGAAAAATTGATATTTATATAGTCATGAAGGTTCTCATCACTTGCCTTTTCTTGATCGCTGCCGCCCAGGTATATACGAAAAATATTAATAATTAAATTTTGACTTAAATACAAATAATTAACTAAATTATGTATTTCAATTCCATATTATTATTTACATAATGAATTCATAGCGCTCACTATTTTAATTCTAAAAAAAGGTTAATCTTACTTGTAACTTTTTTAACACATTATTTTTGTTTTAAGGCCACTGAATGGTCAAACATTCGTCCCGTCATCAAGACGAGCCCTGCCATCCGACGTAAAAAAAAAAATAAATTAAAAATAAGGAAGTTATTTTTAATAAACTATGATTTTTAGATATCATCCCTGGCAAGATAATCGGTGGTGGCATTGCCACCCTGGGACAATTGCCCTACCAAGCTGGGGTCATAATTGATTCCGTTGGCTTCTGCGGAGGCTCTCTAATATCAGAAACCGTCGTCTTGACTGCCGCTAGCTGCATCAGAGGGTAATTTGATTTAATAGATTATAATAATGATATGGGCGAATTGTCATTTCTTTCTCGGGCCGCAGATTCAGCAGCTGGGAGGTCGTTTTAGGCGCACAGAACATCACCGACAGCAGCGAACCTACCAGGCAGACCTTCACGACTTCCGACGCTGTTACCCATGAGCTGTATCTTCCCCAAATAATCAAAAACGACATTGGAATAATCAACCTGGGAGGCACCGCCGGAGGTCCTGGAATTAGCCCTGTAAGGTTGCCAGCCCGTTCTCAGGAGACGGAACAATTCATTGGCGCCAAGGCTCGCGTTTCGGGATGGGGAATTACCTCTGACAGTGAGCATTTTTTTTCTTATCCTTTTTTAAATATCAAATTACGATTTTCAGCTGAACAATTTGGAAGCCCTGATTTGAGATTCGTTGAAGTGGCCGTCATAAGCAGCGATGATTGCTTCGGATATTACGGCAACATCATCAGCGAATTCACGCTTTGCACCGACACCAGCGTTGGAACTATGGGATTCTGCGACGGTGACACAGGCGGCCCTCTGGTCACCACCGAGAGCGACGGTGTCGATACGCTGATCGGAATTGTGTCCTTCCGCTCCCCCGTAGGATGCGAGGTTAACGCACCACATGGCTTCACCAGGGTCACTGGTTACTTTAAATGGATCGAAGATCACACCACAATTATTATCAGGCCTTAAATGTTTCCGATGCTAGAATGAAAATAAAATATTATTAAATGCATTAAAGCGTTATAATGCAGTTATTTAATAATTAACTTATGTCAATTATTCACATTGAGTAAATTTCTAAAATTAGATTGTTACTTGGTTGAGAAACCTGTGCATTAAAATGAAAATTTATGCAGACTGCAGATGCATATTGACTTCATTATGTTATGACATCAAAATTAAATTACAAGTTACTATAATTTAAATGCTAATAAAAGTATTATTTAACAGCAGATAATTTGTTAATTGCGGTTACTTGAAAATATTTGAAGAAACGTGATCAGCAAAAGATTTTATGTTTTTATTAATTTCATTAAACAATAGTTATAAATTATATTTTTTTTCTTAATAAAAAAATTTAATTTTTTCCTATTGATTAAATAATATAAATAAATTTTTATAAAGCTTTTTTTTAAATTTAAACAAATCCATCTCAGGTTTATTCTATGAAACATCTCGATTATCAGTTATGTATCTCATAACATATGAAAAAGTTTGCGAACAAACTTTTTATTAATGATATTAATAGATTGAAACTTTCTTTCCATTTAATTGAAAGTTAGAAATTTTCCTAATATTCCAATCAACTGTCATGGAAATTTGTCTATGCACGATATTCGAGAGAGGGGAAACCTTGATTAAATCGACTAAGCTAGAATGATAAGCTTTTTGCCAGGCTCCTGTACAAGCATATTTATCAAATCAAGAAACATCACATTATTGACATGAAGGCCGTTGTCGCTTGCTGCATAATTATCTTTGCTACGGCTCAGGTAATTCATTTTTTTTTTAATCTAATTAAATTTTAACTTCTTTTATTTTGTATCAATTGAATTATTTCATAGGCCGTTGACTGGGCTAATGTCCGCGCTGTCCGTAGGTCTCGCCCTGTTTTTAGAGGTATTTCAAAAGAGTTAAAAAGCATAGTTTCAAGTTCTGAAAATATTTAGCAACCATTCCTGGTAGGATTATTGGTGGTAGCATTGCAAGGGCAGGACAATTCCCCTATCAGGTTGGGCTTTTCCTTGACGGAAGCGGTTTCTGCGGAGGCTCTTTGATCAAGGAAGATGTTATTTTGACTGCTGCCCACTGCGCTACTGGGTAAAAATTAGATTTTGTGAGAATTGAAAAATCTGGTTGCAAAATTTGCTTTGATATTATTATAAATGAAAAAACAAAGTTTTCGAAAGTAAAAAAAAAAAAAAAGAAACAGTTATATCTCAAGCAGGCTGTTTTTATTCCGAATATTAATTTTTTAATTTAAAATGAATCGTATAAAAGCAATAATATCACTCTTTTTAAACTTGTCGCAGCACCCGGACTTTTGAAGCTCACCTTGGAGCTCAGAACATATATGACGAGACTGAAGCGACCAGGGTGATCGTCACTTCCACCAACGGCGTGTCCCACGGTTCTTACAACCCCAACACAATAAACAACGACATTGCCATTGTGATATTGACTGCCCCTGTCAGTGGGTCAGGAATCGAAACCGTTACACTCTACCTTCCCGCAGCCAGGTTGGCGAGACCTTCACTGGGTCTAAGGTGCGAGTCTCTGGTTGGGGAAGAACCTCTGATAGTAATTTATAAGGAAAAATATTTTATTAAAATATTAATAAAAAAATCTAAGCCATTTCTGGAATCAGCCCTGAACTGAAATATGTTGACGTGATTGCGATTGACAACGCTGAGTGTGCCAGCTATTACGGAAGCATTATCAACGCCTCCAAGATTTGCGTGGGCACCAACGGGGGAACAGAAGGAACATGCAACGGAGACTCAGGTGGCCCCTTGGTCGTCACTGAAAATGGTTCACCCACTCAAATCGGCATTGTGTCCTTCGGTTCCTCTGCTGGCTGCGAGTCTGGCGCACCCGCTGCCTTCACCAGGGTCACTGAATTCCTTGACTGGCTCGAAATCAACGCTGGGGTTACCATCAGACCGTAATATTATTTTGTTAAATCCAGCAAATAAATTTTGAATTTTCACTGCATAATTTATTTTCCTTAGTTTGGGTTCTAAAAATTTGATGCTATAGCTAGCTGCAGATTGAAAATAAAAATTTGAGTACTTAAAGTATTAAAATATGTTTGGGAGTGTTACTGATTTTTCATGTAGTAAATCAAAAAGAGAACTAATTTAAATTGAGCACATTATCCAGACTTTATTAATATTATGTACTTTTCTCCCATTTTAATATCATTAAAAAAAAAAAAAACATATTGATTGACGAATGCTGATGATCTCATGAGAAAATACTTAGTTTTCAATCATAATAGGATATTATGAATCATGATCAACAATCAGGATAGTTTCAGAATCTGTATATTAGGATGACGTTGTCAATTAATTCACTTCACAATGGCAATTAAAAATAACATGAAAAAAAATCATAAAAGAGAGCTAAAGGAAAAGTCTGAATGAAGAAGCCGAAATGTGAAGTTGCTGCAAATTAAATATTTATTTTGAATAGTGTTGTTAAAATATTCAATTATTTTCGTTTAATGGTTAATCCATGAAATCAAACCTCTGGTCGCAGGCTTTCAAAAGCCCCCTAATGATAAAAAGTCATTGTTCGAGAGCTTTCCATCAGTTATATAAGAAGAGCAGAAAACGAGTCGAATTTAGAAAAAAAAAATTTTGGTGTAAACAATTCTAATAGCAACAGACAGAGTAAAATGAAAATATAACAATAAAACACAAAAAAAATAGATGCTTTCATCGCGTTAATATGTTTCTGAGCGTTTTAATTCAATTGCTTGAACTTCGTTTTTATATTCAAGTAAATCACACGTCTGCTCATCACATGTCAGGTATACGTTGATAATTAGTATCATTACAACGAGACGGCCAGATTGCAATTCATTTATCAATGCTTGGTAAAAACTTCAATCGATTGACCTTTGTTAGAGCGATAAGCCGAACTAGAGACTTTATAAGCAGACACTTTAATCAGAACGAGCATAGTATTAACATGAAGGCCATCATTGCTTGCTGTCTTCTTCTCGTTGTAACGTCTCAGGTAATTAAAAATCCCAAATGTAGTTGCAAATTTTTTATTTTTTATTTTAATTGTAGGCCGCGGACTGGGCCAAAGTGAAGCCTGTCTACAGGTCACGCCACACTTTGCGCCGTAAGAGCTAATTTTTTTTTGTGGTATGAAAAACAGAATGATTTCATATTTTCCATTAAAGATGCCGTTCGTAGCAAGATCATTGGTGGTGACTTTGCCACTCCTGGACAGTTTCCCTATCAAGTCGGTCTTTTCCTTGACGGAAGTGGTTTCTGCGGTGGCTCTTTGATCAAGGACGATGTCATTTTGACGGCAGCTCATTGTGCTCAAGGGTAACATTTAAATTTGAAAAAATCTCTTAACAAAAATAAGTTGATGTTCAAATTAATTTAACAGAAAAATAATGAAATAGTTATAATTTGATTTATAACATTACTTTCTACATTTAAGTTTATTTAAAATATAATTTACCCAAATTCTCCAGAACTCGTACTTTCGAAGCTCATCTTGGAGCTCAGAATATTTATGATGAAACCGAGGCGAATAGATTAATCGTCACCTCAACTACTGGTGTTGTCCATGAGAACTATCAAGCCAGCTCCATCAACAATGACATTGCCATCGTTAAGCTGCCTGCCCCAGTTGCCGGAAATGGAGTCGGCGTCGTCAGACTGCCCGCTGGAATTCAGGTTGGCGAGACTTTCAATGGAGTCTCGGCGCGAGTGTCTGGATGGGGAAGAACCTCTGATTGTAATTTAATGAAAATAATAATAAAAACAAATAATTATCTAATTTTCAAATACAGCCGTTTCCGGAATCAGCCCTGAACTGAAATTTGTTGACGTCACTGTGATTGACAACTCTGTGTGCCGCGCTTCTTACGGAAATATCATCACCGATACCAAAATTTGCGTGGACACCCTCGGCGGAACCGCAGGAACCTGCAACGGAGACTCCGGCGGCCCCTTGGTTGTCCAGGAGGTTGACGGTATCTACACTGAAATCGGAATCGTGTCCTTCGGATCCTCCGCTGGCTGCGAGTCTGGATACCCTGCCGCTTTTACCAGAGTATCCGAATACCTGCCATGGTTGGAAACCAACGCTGGAGTTACCATCAGGCCGTAAATATGAGAGAAATAAAAAAATAATAAACTGACTGAGAAGTTAAATTAAACCATGATTTTTATTTCTTAAAAAATTTTGTCTATTAAAATTTATAAAATTAAAAATGAAGGCTTTAGGAAATTGTTGAATAATTATTAACGATTATTAAAAAACCAATATTACATTTTGATACAAATTATGCAACTCGCGCAACGTTGGTGTTTAGCAGGTTGCCTAAAATCATTTTTGAACGCACGCAATGCACAAAAAAGTAAGAGAGTTGGGAATGATACTTGAAATACAAAAAGTATTTATTTTACGTAATTTAATTTCCTTAATCCTTTCCCACTGGTTGAAAATTACAATCTTGCTCGAAGAACGGAGCGTTACCAAGTTTCAGACACAGGGTGTGCTGCTGTTTTCGCTCACTACAAATCACATTTTTCTTAGTATAGACGGCAGCCTGCAGGTGGAGTTGAGAGTTTCAGCCAGCTACTGCTCCGCAGACGCTTTTTTATAATCTTATTTAATATAAATATTAATATGAGTTGAGAATTTTATTGTCAATTATTCATTGAACGCTATTTCTAAAATGAAGGGAAGGGCACCTTCATTTATAAAAGTTTTGGTTAGAAACAGTTAGAAATAAGTTGAATCAAAATTAAATTAAAATTACTGTTATTCAACGTGGTAGATAATTTTTTGATTAGGTTTTTTCTCTTTATTTATTTATTTTTATTTTTAGTGACCTAAAAATCGTTAAAATCAACGTCACCCTGCCGCACATTGGGCCCTAGAGCGGTGGAGCGTCACACAATCTCTTCTTGAAAAACAAAAATTCAGAAACTGTCATTTGTACATCTATTTCTTATTTCTATGTATTCTATCTCTCTCTCGTCACTGGCTTTTTTGAGAAGTCACAAATCCACTCGTGTTGTGTTATTTGCGAATCTCTTGAGAGCGCACAGAAGCACATAGCTGCAGGCCAAACGGAGGGACAATGATGCAAAATACCTTGCAGGCCTTCGTATTGTTGGTCATGAGATGAACTGGAAGCCGCATTGTGCGCCTCGTGTACGTTTGACTGTCTTGTGCACACACAACGGGCACAGAGAGAGCAGGACGTCAAGGGGGCCTCACAACAAACAGAGAAACAAATATTATACGGTGATGGCATCATGTGCAGCCAGAATATATTCCAAGAATGAAAAAAAAATATAATCATGGTAAAATAATTCAACACTTGGAAAAAAATGAGCGAAATAAATCATTTGCAACCGAAGAACTATCTCAAATAATTTAGGCGTTCTTAGCAGGTTTTATAATTATTTAATTATTGTTTAAAGCAGACTTTCAGTGAACTAATAAGCATCTTTAAAAAAATTTGATCAGCAGTTCTATAAAAAGCCTTTACCTAGTACCTAATCAATTTAATTAATGAATTTACTGAATGTCCTAAATTGAAATTTCATTTTTATCTTTCATTAATTCAGCCCTGATTTTACAGACTTCATCTACATATTTTTCTACAACATTGAATTATATTAATGTCTATCAGGCCATTTATAGAAGTAAGAAATGAAGTTTTAGATCTAGATGAAAATTTGTCATCCTCGTTGGTCCCCTCGTCCGCCGGCGTCGCAAAAAAAGTGTCAGGCGAGCGCGTCTATTTCGGAGCGAGAGGTGTGCAGCAGCTTTTTCAGAAGGGGTGCCTCTGGACCAATGGAGATGCTGTGAGCAGCCGATTGGTCACCCACCGCCACAGAGACGTGTCTCTTCAGCCGCGCGGCAGCAGCCGGTGACATCTACTCTCTTGGCTTTTCCAATTTTCGCACTCGCCACGTCATCGACCTGCGCGCCAAAGTGCCAAATGAGAGCAAAAAAGGGAGACACGACGCTTCGTGGAAATCGCGGCTTGCGCAGTTTTCTAAATTTAAATTATAAATACCCACGTCTAAATTTACGTCATAATTAGAGCATTTGTTTGAAGAGACAATTTAGGTATGCTGGAATTTTTGAATTTGTTCCCGGAAAAGGAGGTGTTTTCCAAAGATATTAATCACGACTGAATAATTTTGCGTAAATTTGCTTTTTTCTAAAAGGTTTTTTTAAAGCTAAAAGTCAATTTTCACTAGTTTAGTTGGGTTTTAATTGGTTTCTGAACTGGGTTAAAACTCAATTGCCAAATGAATTTTTCATAGCAAATTTTGCTTCGATGGCGATTTATAGGAAAGAAATACTTGATGTCATAAGTAGTGTACATTGGACAATTTTTATTATTTTTAATTGATTTTAGTTTCTCTTTGTCGAAGCTATAGGCTTGAGTCAATTTTAATTCTGTAATTTTCAATAAAAATATTTGCATATATGAAAATGGTCTAGGAAAACTGCTCTGCTAAATTCTTTATTATCGACATTATTGTAGTGTGTTTGTCAAAATTGTCAAAACGAAATTTTAATTGATAAAAAGCAATTGCTAGGAGGGAAAATTTAATTGTTGGACAAATGGCATCACTAGCAAAGATTTTGTTTAAACTTCTGGTGTTTGCTATTCCTTTTTTTTATATGTGTTTAGCATGTTCAATTTTTTATTTTTCATTTTTAGAATAAGTTCCACTCTCAAGTCTTGTCAACACCGTCAGTTTATTTAATTAAGATAATTTCAATTGAAAATATTTTAAAGTTAAATTTCCGCTCTATACGCAGTAATATTTTATATTCAAAATTAACAGATGGCATTATTTGTGGTGATAATGATGCTGAACATTTATATTAATGTGAATAAAAAAAATCGTCCCCTTTTGTCGCAGCAAAATGGATTTTCGAAACCAGACTTGGATCACTTTTGAATAGCGGTTTTGGCTGAAGCATGCAAACAAAATCACCCCTTTCGCTCAGCGCTCGGGGGTGACGTGCACAAATTGAAAAGCAGCAGTCAGGGGTGTCCAGGAAATGCGGCATGTCGCAGCGTTTTCCAACAAAAGCCAAAGAGGAAACGCATTTGCAGCAGGGAGGGGTTTTGTCCCCGGTGCACCCCCGGCAGAGAGGACACCCCGAGGGGCTCACCCCCAAAATGGAGTTGCTCTCTCATTAATTATGGCGCGACGGATTGTGTGATTATGCGCGGCAGATGGAATTATAGAGCGAGAGAACTTGATACTCGCTCTGCAGTTGATTTGAATGCAAAGCCGCCCTTTCGCACAGATGAATTATTCACCTTGGCCGGCCGGCAAACTGATAGCGATATAATACCAAAGCTGCAGAGAGGGCGGCAGCTGCCCTGACGTGAGAATCTCGCATTGCAAACAGCTTCATTAATAGTCTGGGGCATAGCGACCACACCAACGCACAACCTCAGATTAATCGCGTCTCACCGAAGAGGCTTTTCAATCTCGAAAATTCATCTAAAATGTGTAGCACTCGTCCAGAAGTCATTTATTTCTTTGTTAAATTTTAATTAAATAAATATAATTAAAACAAATACTTAAATTAAGTTTTACCGTGTTTAATTTATATTAAGTTTTTTAATTATTTATAAATATGTTTTTATTAGTCTTTTTTAATAGTAGATTATTGATTACAATACTTACTTTAATATTTAATAATAATATTATTAATTATTGTTTCATGGTATTTTGGATGAATGACCTTTTTCAATATTTAGTTTATTTTCATATTTTATTTTTGCAGATTTATAAAATTTGCTAATAAAAATATTTACATTGACATCTATAATCTACCAAAATTAATATCTTGTAAGAAGTCTGACACATGCGAAAATAAGTCATTGGAATCTTTAATAAACATTGGAGCGGTCAAAAATTATAGAGGAATAATGGGAATTTAAATTTAAAATATATGCACAGGAAAAATAAAGAGAAAAAACAAAACAAAAACACAATTCCAACTATATTTTGAGACTAAATATTCTATAAAATGCAAAGATATATTTTTTTCTTACAAGACTTGTCGAAAATCATGGCAACTATAAAAGTTAAGTAATTAGTTACTCTTAAGTTTTAAAAAATGTGCAAAAATATGAATTTTCTACATAGATCTGTTAAATTAGTTGTAGCATATTAAAAACCAAAGGAAGAATTTAATTTATAATTGGAATCCCCTCAACTTTAAAGTTTAAGTTAATAAAATAATTAAAAAAAAAAAATGTTTAGAGCTTGTATACATGAACAGTTACACTTTTCCTTATTGTGGTGACGCCTCAGTAAGTGCTGGGAAGAAAATAAATTTGTTCTTCGTGTGCTCGAGAAAGAGAGAGCATCTCTCGAACAAAAACGTTGGAATAAAAGAATGGAAGTGTATCCGCGCTGCAGCTCTCGCGGTGGATGAATTTCCCGAGAAACAATGCGGCGTTGGTCGGAATACACAAGACCGTTCGCGTGCTCATTTTTTTCTTACCCTTCGAAGGAGTTGGTTGGCAGAGAGAGAAAGAAAGAATAAGGAAATGGGGTGTGTTGGCGAGAGGGAGACTCATGGTGCTTTTCCCGTGAATGCGCCGCCGATTCTGTGAAGCATGCACTCGCAAATCCCGTCTCTGCGCGCTGAATGGAGAGCAGCTTTTCGCCAATGCTTTTTGCAAGCACAGTCATTAGCTTAAAAGCACACATACACACACACACAAGACGAGAGAGTGTAATAAAGAACGACAAGCGCGACCATTAATACACATATTTCCAGCCGCTGTTGAGATTTTTGAGCCGCTCTCTGCGGAAAAAAGCCCGCGACGAGAGAGAGTTGTAAAAAAAAGGATTGCTCATTCCATATTTAACAAGGTACGGCGTTCCTCCTCTCCGCCCACCCACCCACTCTCTTTCTTTGTGTATAAAAGATGCTTCAATTAGGGGTACTTTCTAAAAAGCTGTAAACAAAGAATTTTTTGTGCACCCCGCAGAATTTAAATACACGCCCGTTGATTTCTACATTTTTTACTCCACTCCCCCGTCGGCGTGTGTAGCACTCGAGAAGTCGGAAAGAGAGCTGCTCATTTTTCTTGCCGGATTTTGCTTTAATTATGCACGCACGCGGGTTTTTGCGACTTTTAGACTGGAGAGC